AGCTGTCTTACTTGGTTTTTTTTGCAATCTGTCTTATACTAGATAATAAACAAATTTGTTAACAATAATATGGTTTGGCTTGGGCTCCAATGAGATAAATCCATATATTTACCTACTTTAAATATTTATCTATTTCTGTGGGGTAGGTCTAGGACATGTAATCTTTTGAGTCGCCTGTTGTTGCTTGAGTCATCCAGTAGTCTTTGTGCTTGAGCATTATCGTGGTTATGTAGTTTATTCATGTATCTGTTTACATATAGTTTTATTTCTTCTTTAACAAGGGGCAGTTTAACATCTTTGTGGATATTATAATTAGTCATATACTGTGATGCACATGTAATCATTCTGAGCGTCTTGCTCTGGTATCGCTTTATATTTTCATATTTGAATTACTAGCAGTACTCCATAATTGCAATGCATAGGTCCATACTGGATTCAGTACGGCTTTATATATCCTTAATTTGTTCTGAAGACTAAGTTCAATACATTTTTCTCGTTTTCACCTTGAGCTGCTCCCGTTTGATTTGATGTGCTGCTTCCAAGTTAGCCGCCGATCAATATGAACACCTAGATATTTTACCGATTCAATAACAGGTATAGCATGACCGTTTAGTGTGACTGCAGGACAACTTCCAGGTCTCAGGGAAAATGTAACTTGCACTGACTTTTACGTGTTCACTATTATTCTCCACTTTTGAAGCCATACTTCAATCAGACCGAGTTCTTCTTGGAGTAAGTTGGATGCAACTTGTGGGTGAGTGTTCGTATTGCTATCTCAACAACGTTTGTTGTAGGTAGGTCAGCTGTGTAAATTGTATTGGATGATTCGTTATGTTCTCGTACATAAAAAAATCGGTTTGCCAGGTACGATTTTATAATAGTAAAGTATGGTGCTGGCAGCCACTTCTTAACTTTGTAAAGAAGACCTGCATGCCAGACTTTATCAAACGCTTGTTTAATGTCTAAAACACCTGTGCAATATTTTTTGCTTTCAAATGCATCAATAATTGCATGCGTTATACGATGGCATTGCTCGAGTGTTCCATGCCGTCTTCTAAACCAAAGCTGATGTTCCGATAAGATATATTGTTCGTCCCGCACCACTGACATTCTTCTGAAAAGTATTCTTTCAAATACTTTAGAGAATATCACCACCAAACTAATGAGACTATATGACAATCTGCAGCTCTCTGGCTTGTTGGGTTTGAGAATCATGATTAATTCCGCACATTTCCACTGGTTTGGGAAGTATTCCAATCTTAGCATAGAATTGTATATTTGAGTGAGCAATCGGATGCATTTCTGCGGAAGATGTCTAATGGTATTTGCGCATATTTTATCATATCCTGGCGTTTTCTTCTTGTTTAGAATGTTTATTTCCTCTTCCACTTCTGCAATAGTCGTGTGGCGTATCGGTAGGCTCATCTGGCAAGCAGTTTCTAGAGATTGGTCAACCTCATCTACTGTGTCAGGATCATTTTCCAGATTTGGTTTAAAAACAGAGCTTAAATGTTCTGCAAACGCTTTAACCTTTTTCATTATTGCCTCTGCAGCGTTGTCCCCTGCTGTCTAGAATTGTGGAAGCTCTTCTGGTTGGTCTCTAAAGATACCTAGTTGCTTTCCAAAGGCTGTGATCCAAGTCACTTGTATACGGATCACGATTCCTTAGATACTCTGCTGTAGCTTCATTTTTTATTTCCCATAGTCTACTTTTTAAGTCTGACTGCCTTGTTGAATTTTCTTTTGTCGATTGGGCTTCTCATTGTCTGCCATATTTTCCTCAGTTTTCTTTGTTCAGCTATTTTTGATCTAAGTTCTAGTGGCAGAAAAGCTTCCCTATTTACATTCTTTATCTTTTAGTGGTGGTGTGAACATGTACCCAGCAGTATGAATCGATTTTGTGAGTGCTTCAATTGCCATTTCAACTTCATCACCTGACTTGAGTGATATATTTAGACATGTTGGGTCTTCTAGCCAGTTTTTAAATCCGTTTATGTCGGTTTTACCATTAATAATTCAATAAGACTTTTGCTTGTAACACGCTGTAGTTACATAGGTTGCTATAATCGGTGAGTGGTCAGAGCTCAGATCAAAGTTCTCTTCTATTTTAAAATTATTTTGCGGTAGCTGAGAGTAAACAATGAAATCCAACAAATCTGGGATCTTACGTGGATCAGTTGGCCAGTACGTCGGCTTGCCTGTCGATTAAGTTGAGTATTTCTTGAAGGTGATACATTTGTATAATTCAGCACTTTTTGGATTTATCAGCCTTGACCCCCACTATGGATGCTTTGCGTTATAGTCACCTCCAGCAATAAAGCATCTACCAAGTCTTTGAAATAGTGAATTGAAATCGTCTTCTTTGCATGCATATTTTGGTGTTAGATACACTGCAGCAATAGATATAGAGGAGTGCATGCATTGTACTTGAATCGCTGCAACTTGCATTATATTTGTGCTGATACAGTCTAATCCTAATGTGTTTCTGAAATAAGTAATATATCAATTTTGTTGACTTTAATAAATAAGGTAATTTTATTACGATGACTGGAAAGCCCGTTAGCATTCCATATGGCTTTGCGGAGATCTACAAGTAATATATAATTATATTAAGTAAATTATTTGTTAGTTCAGATTTTTTTACTTTCTAGAGAAGAGTTTTCTTTTATGACAGGGTAACCTCGTAGTACTTGCGCATAGCTTGCAAATTTTGAAAATTGAGTTGTATTGCTTGTTGGAGTATTTGCTGACAATCTTTGTCGTTCATTAGCCATTGCTGTTTTGTTATTAATAGATTTGTTTTTGTAATAGACTGATAGACTCTGCATCCTTTGTTGGCACAGGTGGTTGGTGAATCTTTCGATTTAGTACAATTGACGCTTGGGTGATTACCAGCACATTTAACACACTTAAATTTTTTTTTTACAATATGCTTTTACTTGCCCGAATTCTTGACATCGAAAGCATTGCACCATGTCGCTCATTTTCCTTGGCGGCTCGATTGTTACTATGGCATTCTCAACATGTTTTATTTTGTAGATCTCCACATTGTTTTTATTTGGTTCCAGGTCTACAAAAAGCATTGGAAGCGGCTCCTTGGTAATACGACTCTTGATATTGTAAATACCTCTGACTACGTGAACTTGCTTTTCTATTGCACGCTTTATTGTGTCGAAGGGTGTCGAGTGATGCAAGTTTTTAATTACAACTCTAAATGCTTTTTCCTAGTTTAGTTGAAATGTGTGGTAGTTTACTTTTTAGCCATTAGTAATTTAACTATGGTCCTATATTTTTCAACAGTTTTTATCATAATGCGAATACATATTCGTCTCGTTATGTCTTATTAGTGAATTCAGTGGCATCAATGTGGGGGTTGAGGAATTGAAGAAATAAATGTATGTCACTCACATTGGGAACAAATATTGGAGGTAGTTTTTTTCGCTGTATCAATTTCCACTTCATCAGTTGTTGCATTTGTTGATTTATTGGTCTCTTCGTCTCCCTTGTCTGCGAATAGGACAAAGAGGTTAGCTTGCCGATATGTAGAAGGGCCAGTGTAGAGATTTTTCCTTATCACAGATGGAGACTCTTCATTTTTCCGTTTAATTGATCGTGGAGCTGTTGGTACTTTTTGCCACACCAAAATATTGCTTCCGCCAACGTTTCCCAAAGGCATCATTTTGCTGCTTATAAGCAGCCGGTTTGCAGTCGCTACTTTTTTATACCCTGATCCCATTGAAAATGGGAAATCACGGTATAATGGTTTTGTGCCATGTGTATGTAACAGTCAGAAAGAGGCGTGGCAGACCTTATAAAGTATATATATTCTTGATCAGGACGAAAAGCCGAGTCGATTGAGCCCCGTCCGTCTGTCTGTCCATCCGTCTGTCCGTATGTGTGAACGCGTGGATCTTAGCATCTATAAGAGCTAGAGACTTGAAATTTTTTTTGTAGGTCCGCGTATAGCACGCGCAGGCCAAGTTTGTTTCAAATATTGGTATCGAATAAAAACATTATTTAAATGCAGTAAATAAATTATTTCTCGAACGTCTAAAGATCTAGAGGCTCCAAATTTTGTATTTAGTTTTATGTATATTTTATGCAATCTTAGTTTTTGTTGGATTTTGTATACCGACTCCAAATTTCCCCAAATTCTTAAAATTTAAGTTCAGTTGGAACTAGAGCCATTATGTGAAGGCGGTTGCATCTCAACCAAGCCAATAGGATATGTAGATCATATGCTGAACATTTCATCAAAATCCATTACGTAAAACAAAAGTTATTAAACAAAACGTTTGACCATTTTGCAAAAGCACATGTCAGCAGCGCCACGCATTTTTCCTATGCGTGTGCACACATACATTCAAATGCGTCTATTCTTTTCTATTCCAAGAATCGAAATTGCGATTGAATACTGCTTGAATTCTCAGCTGCTACTCAACATCAAATTAGCAACACTTCTTGCAAGAGGCTGCGTTAGTAGAGGCGGCGCTCGTATGCAGCTAGACCCAGGGTTCGAGACCGGTAGAGATGAAATATTTTGTATTGTTTTATTTTTTTTTTTAATTATGAAGTGGGGGTGGTGGTATTTTCGTTTTTTATTTGTTTTCTTTTTTTTTCAATACTCGATACAAGCTACGGAAAATATGAATAAACGCAAATAGGACTAGGATCACGGATCTCCTAGTCGGGCACCCCGATTAGAGCTTTCTTTCTTGTTTTATTTTTAAATTATGAAGGGGCGGTTGCGTAGAAATTGTGGGCTCGATTCCTGATGTCGTAATGTCGATTATTATTATTATTTTTTTTTAACTCTCGTAACAAACTACAGAAAATATTACAATACAAACTTCAGGGTATCTCCTAGTGTATTAAACCCGATTAGAGCTTTCATACTTGTTATTTATCTAGTCTAGTCTATAAGAACATAGTATAATATTGGTATTAAATATATATAAGTGCATAATAAAATAGAATAATAATAATAGAAAGATACTCACTAGTCAATTAAGTTATTGGAAATGAAGCAGTTACCCATCTCCAGCACGTGATATTTAAATATTGTTTTGCAATCATTTAGTGGAACCCCAGCAAAATATATTGCTTTGAAAAAATGTTCACAAGATTCAGGTAAAAACTGTATATAAAATTAATCGTATTAATAAAGTCATATGCATAATAACATAGTATTGATAGTTAAATAATTACTATACTTAATCAGGTATGTAAGAAACGCTATTATTTCAAGTGATAGAGACTTGAAATTTGACACATATACTCGCGATCAAAATCGAAGATAAAAATATAACGGATTTATCAACGCCCATTACTGGAGTAGTGTGTCTTTTAAAGTTTTTGTACTAGATATAATAAGATAGCATACGAATTACTTTAGATTATCAACAGATTGACGACAGAATTACATCTCCGTATCCATTCAGACAAAGTCTGACCAACGGATAGCAAGATGACCACGCCGATTTTTCAAACTTAATGCGTCACTTGTATCTTTGCGTACAAACTGAAAATACACGCAATGACAAGTACGCGAGTGCAAATTTGTGTACCCTAATCCCATTGAATTGGGAAATCAGGGTTTAAAGGTTATGCGCAAATGTACGTAACAGAAGGAGGCATGCGGACCCACGCCGAACTGAGCTCCGTGTATATTTCAAATCAATAACTATTCCCGTTTTATTATTACTAAAACCACGATCTAAATGCAGTTATTAAATTATAGCTCATACGGCTTAAGAGCTAAAGCCTCAAACATTTGTATTCAGCTTTATGTCTTCTTGAATATGCTGTATGTGCATGCCTGAGCACTAATTAAAGCTAGGAATGCAAAAGTTAAGCTTAACATCTGCTAGAGCTAAAGCTAAAGCACTGAACTTATTCAGCAAACTGAATAAAAAGTTCCCTACCCCGAAAACAGACGTATAAAAGCACTGCATATTTAAAATTTAATTTACAATTAAATGCTAGACGCGGAATAATCTATCTGCATATTCCGTATACAGATTAAAACCTTTATTTGCCGTCTTGTTCTCTTCTTCATGTGTTTTGAACTGTTTGAAATTTGCGGGTGTCATTTTGTGCTGAAGTGTTTGCAAAAATTACGCATTGTGCTAAGCATTTAAAATCAGTTGTTTTATAACAGGTTGCGTTATGAAAGGAAAAGGAAAAAAGCTATAGATTCACTTTAAAAAAAAATTAGAAAATAAATGGTAATTTTTCCATTTCATCATAAGTTGTAAATTTCCTTCATAACCTATCCCCCACTTGGCCCTCTCTATGGAGTGCAAATCTGGGGAACTGCTGCCAACTCCAATTAGAAACGGGTACAGGTATTGCAGAACCGAGTACTACCAGATAACCAACTCTCTCTGGTTTATACGCGGCTCAACACTCTATAGAGACCTCGAGCTGTTTACTGTCGAAGAACAGATTGGAAGACATACAAGCAGATACACGGATAGATTGCAACGACAACGAAGCCTACTTGCAAGAGTTCTAATCCCTGCCAGACTCCTAAGACGACTTAAATGGCAAGGCTTTGCCAAAACGATTGGAATACAGTAAACTATTGACTTTTAATTCCTCATAATGTGCCTGAGGTTTGGCATTAATTCCATATATATACATGTGTTGTTAAGGTACTAAATTTGATTGTACAGGTTCTACACTTAATAATAAAACAAAAAAAAAAAAAAAAAAATAAGCTGGACTTTAAATCGCATCCTAAAACGCTGTTATGATTATTTTTCTCTTAATATATTTTTTCCAGCGGCAAATAATAATTATTGTGCTTGTGCAGCAAACGACCATTACACTTTATCAGCAGATGATCTACAGACAATAGAATATATTGGCACATTTGTCAATTATTATATACACTTTACTGTGCTGTTGTTCAGTTTTGTACTGATGTTTATTCTTCGGAACAAATGTTTTACACCCCGACTCATACGTATTTCATCCCTTAAATCTAGCTATATCTATTTGTATACTCTAATCCCAGTGAAAATGGGATATCAGGGTATAATGGTTTTATGTAAATGTATGTAACAGGCAAAAGGTGGCATGACAGACCCCATAAAGTACATATTCTTGATCAGGACGACAAGTCGAGTCGATTGATTAATATTCGATAACTATTCGCATTTAATTGTCATCGAATAAAAACATGATTTAAATGCAGTTAATAAATTATATCTCTTTTATTTAGTATTAAGTATTATGTATGTTTTATGCAATTTTGATTTTTGTTGGATTTTGGATACCGGCTCCAAAACGTTTGGCCAATTTGCAAAAGCACATATCAGCAGTGCCACGCGAAGTATGTACTTCTTTCATACAAGATCCAATATACATTCTTTATTTAAGGCAGCATATACAACTGTCTTATTATTCAATTCTAAGGGGTCTTTCATATGATTCTCGGTTCCGATGGTAAAGTATGCTTATTTTAGGCAACGGAGGCTGCGATAATTGTTTATGTATAGAATATGGGAAATACATCTTATTGCTAAATGGTTTGCGATAAGTGTCCGTTATTCAGATGACACTTATGACTCATGGATTTTCTACATTAAGGCAGATTGCAAGCCTTTAGTGTCGACTTTTTGCTTTCTATTGCCTATCGTAGGGCATGTAGAGCAATGCTAGCAGCAGTGCCAGAGCCACCACTACTGCCGCCGTCGGTGCCGTCGCCAGTGCTGCTTATGCTACCGTTGTCGCCGCCCCCGTCGCTACTGCCCCCGCTGCTGTCGTCCCCATTGCTGCAGCCCCGGCTGCCGCTACTCCTGCTGCCGTTGCCGCTGCTACTGCTGCCGCCTCCTTTAGCTTGACTAGTTCTAACGAAATGGTCCAACGGTCCACAACGTAGCACTAAGCGTGCTGGATGTACGTGCGAGTTATCAGTAGCTGGTGATCAAGATGTATGGGAGGATCATGGAATTGGAGGCGCTAAGCCGTGCCCGCCACAAACCGCTGCCGCCATTGCTGTCCCCGCTGTCACTGCCATAGTCGCCCGCGCTAACGCTCCAATTTGTGCACCACGTACCCGCAAGGCTGCGGAGACTTGGTCAGCAATTGTGACAAGGAGGAGGAGACGCCTCACCAAGTCGCTGAGCGCGTTCGCAGGGATGTTGCCCCCGCTATCGGTGTCCGTGTACATGAGTTGCGTGAGCTGAAGCGAGGAGGGTCGCAGGGTCGTGACTAACCCCAGGTTCAAAGATGGGTTAGATGGGAAGAGAAATGCTGCGCTATGACTGTCAAGCAGTTCATGGGCGGTTTGTTCAAGAACCACTTCTCGGGGCACATGTCACATGCTGGCTTCGAGAAGTCGGTGGCCATAGTGTCCAAACTATGGACACAAGAGGCAAGATCAGTGACAATCCAGCTGGAGCTAGAACAGAAGGCCCTGGATATCCTGGAGGAACACGACAGGATGTATGTAGATTGGTTCGCCTTTCGATGGCGATCGATGATGCGTACGTATGCGTGCCACAGGTGTGTCAGCTTTGACCACAAGATCGCTCAGTGCCGGATGAAGGAGCAGATCTACCGGACAGTCGGGACACCGAGCCGGGAAATGCTACAACCCTGTGCACTGTAGGGATTGCAGCTTCAAGGGGCTACCCTGCGAGCATCTTATGCTCTCAGCGGCTTGCCCGATATACGGAGCTGTGCTCGCCAAGGTGGCTGCTGGACATTAATGTTTAGCATCACCCAGGCAAACTGCGGTCGCAGTCGAGCTGCCGTGATAGAGCTCGGTGTCAGAATGAGGAACTCAGGCAGAAATTTCGCACTGATCCAGGAGCCTTACGTTGACCGTGGAGGAAGGATCACCGGATTACCGGCAGGTATACGAGTTTTCTCCGACCGCCGCAATAAAGCTGCTATAGTCGTTGACGACCAGGAGGTCGTCTGCATGCCTGTTTCGTCGCCCATCACTGAGTACGGCGTCTGCGTGAGTGTGTCTGGGAAATTTGGCTCAATTTTTCTCACTTCCGTGTATTGCCAGTTCAATGCTGAAATTGAACCGTACGTGCTGTACATGGATGCGGTGCTGCTGCTAGCCAGCCGCACGCCTGTCATCTATGGCCTAGATGCGAACGCAGTACCCCCTGCGGTTCAGTAAGCTCCACGAGCGCTCTCGGGGCTACTTGAACAGAGCGGGGTGAACTGTTAGCAAATTGGGTACAGGGCAGTCGAGCCGGAGTGCTAAACGTCCGCAGCAGTGTGTACACGGTTGATAATCGCAGGGCAAGAAGCGATATCCACGTAACGATCGTCAGCGATTCAGCGTCTACATGGGCCACGTACGATTGGAGTGTGAGCGAGTGGGATCTAAGTGATCACACCATCATCACTGTTGCTGTAACACTTGATCCGCTAAGCACTGTTGAGAGCTATGCTCCGCTGCCCTCGTGGACACTTCAATGTGTTGACTGGCGACGTTTCAGTGATGAGTTGATGACTGCATCGTTGGAACTTCCTCTGGAGGAGTTTCACCAGATGGCATCTGATGAGCAGATCACTGCACTTCGCTCCCTGGTTCATCAGGTGAGCGACACTGTGCTGGGGCGTCAGCAGCTGCAAGCTAGGCGTCGTGTGGGTTGGTGGAATGCCGCCCTCACTGATGCACGTCGTGAGCTCAGGAGAGCCCGACGAAGGCTTCAGCATGCGCGTCGAAACCACAGTGATAGTGCTGATGACCTCGCCACGTATTTCAGGATCACCCGAAAGGAATACGTGAGGATGATGCTTAAGGTGAAAGAGGAAGACTGGAGACGATTTGTCGGCGAGCACCAGGAAGACCCTTGGGAGCGTGCCTACCGGATATGCCGAGGCCACATGACGTGCACCGATCTCGGTTGCCTTCGCTGGAATGATGAACAAGTTGTAACCTGGCACGACTGTGCGAACGTCCTGCTCCGCAGCTTCTTTCCTGCTGCGGAGAGGCCAGTGGACATTTCCGTTCCTCGCGAAGTACCCCCAGCCTTTGACATGTTCGAGGTAGAAACATGCATCAGACGCTCACCTGGCTTAGACGGCATAACTGGGGGTATGGTCAATGCGGCTTGGCGCGCCATCCCTGAGTACATGATAGCGTTGTTTTCCCGCTATCTG